ATATGATTACCTTGTATGGAAACAAGGATATTCATGTGGAGGTCTTCCAATATGATTGCCCCGTAGGGTGATAAGGATCTTCATGTGGAAGTCTAGTAATATGATTGCTTCATAGGGCGACAAGGTTTTTCATGTGGATGTCCATAAATATGATTATCTCATACAAAGGCAAGGATCTTACTATGGAAGTCTAACAATATGATTACCCTGTAGGGCAGCAAGAATCTTCATGTGAAAGTCCAACAATATGATTACCCCTTGGAGAGGCAAGGATCTTCCTGAGGAATTCTAGTAATTGATTACCCCATAGGACGTCAAAGATATTCATATGGAAGTCCAATAATATGTTTTAATAGTGGAAGCATAATAACTTGTTGTAAATACCATATTTTATTACAATAGTTTTTGTACATATCTGGTTCACCCTCTACCACTTAACCATAATAATATCCAAGATTTGTTGAATTTCGTGTTCTGGTAAAGAGCCGCCCATCCAATTCCTTGAGCTTGTAGTCCCCGTTAGGCACCTTCTAATATATATATGATTTGGCCCCTCTCAGTTAGGTTATATTTTTCCCTGTTGGGAAGACATTACGAGTTATCATAGTACTAAATCTCCTTCCTGCATCTCTCTTTGAATTACTTTGGAGTTGTATCTCCTAGCTATTATGTGTTTGGTGGTTAATTCTCATATAAGGGTGACGTCTCTTGTTTCATCCACTAGGTCGGAATTACATCTAACCCATTCTTTGTTTTCGTCTTTGTTGAAGTGGGAACTTTTCCATGTTTCCGTGTCAATTTCGATTGGTAGCATGGAATCTTCCATGTATACTAGTGTATAAGGGGTTTCTCCAACGATGGAATGAATGGTTGTATGATATAACCAATTTACTTTATGAAATTGCTTGCCCCACAAACCTTTGGCCTCATCCAGGTTTTTCTTGATCGCTTTCAATATTACCTTGTTTGCTGACTCAACTTGTCTGTCCGCCTATGGGTGAAGGTCGAATGTAAATTTAGTATGTACCCATATTTCTTCACAAAAATTGACTACGGTTGCACTAGAAAATTTCTTTCCATTGTCTAAGACCAGGACTCCTAGTAAATTGAACATGCACGTGATCCTCTACCAATAAAAGCGACAGGCTCTTTATTCCATTATCTTGTACACAACTCTACTTTTATCCATTTTCTGAAGTATTTAACTCTGATAATCAAGAACTTCAGTTGGTTGGAAGAAAAAGGGGAAAGGGACCCAAAATATCCACGCGTGTTGGTAAAAAGGTCAAGGCATTGATACTTAATGGAGAAGCTCGACTAACGCATTGTGTAGATTGGCAGGCCTCTGGAATTTGTCACATCTTTTGACGAAATTTATGATGTCTTTCATTAAATAGAGCCAATAATAACCTACATTTAACAGCTTATGGGCCAAGGCTCGCCCACCAATATGGTTGTCGCAAGCCTCTGATGCATTTCGGTTAAGACTAAGGAAGTATCTTGTTCCCTCAAACATCTCGAAATGGGAGTGGTATTTCTCATTTTGTAGAGCTTTCTAGACATAAGGACATACTTATTTGCATGTTGGAGGATTTTATTTTCTTCTAATTCATCTTACGATAATTTTCTTGATTGCATATAGTGAATTATGGGTTCCATCCAGTCGCCAATTAGGGTGATGTCAATATAATTCGATTCTTTTACTTCTATTCTAGGGATGGCAAGTGTTTCATGTATTATAGTGTGGTTGAATTTTTTTTTCTTCGAGCTAGTCAGCTTGGCCAGTAGGTATGTTCTGAAGTTATGTTCCCTGGGCACATGTTTTAATTTAAACCTTTTGAAATGTTTGGACAAACCACGTACCTTATTTGAGTATCTAATGAGATAAGGTTCATTTTCCTAATACTCGTTGGAAACTAGTATATCCACTAGTTGAGAGTCGCTTTTGGCTTTTAGGGTCGATGTGCCTACTTATAAGGCGAGTTTCATACCGATGGTGACAGTTTCATATTCTGCTTGGTATTTGTTAGCCTTAAATTCAAACTTCTATGATTGTTTAATCAATAAGTCCTCTGGCCTTTTTAGCATGATCTTGATGCTGCTTCCTTTGACATTTGAGGATCTATCTACTGAGAGAATCCAGGATGGCATGTTGAACTCATCCATTTATAAGGACTAAGCTTTCTTGCGGTCACCACAATCAATGCGAGCCTTTATATCTTCTGATAGCAAAACTCCGTGCCTCTAAACACTTTGCTTACAAAATAGACATGTCACTCATATTATATGTTTCATGAATAATTATTGATCTTAACGCATAGTCAGTGACAGGCAAGTAGAGATATAATAGAGTACTTGATATTGGGCATGAAAATGGGTAGTGACGCTAAAAAAAACTTGAACTTAAAGAACACTTACTCGCATTTTTCGGCCCATCCAAACCTCTTCTTCTTCAACATGGAAAATAAGTGGAAAGCCTTGTCACCTGCATAGGAAAGAAAACAAGAAAGGGTGGCCAAGCACTAGGTTAGTTGTTAAACCTCCTTAACATTGGAGGGTATTCATATGTCTATGATGGCTTGATATTTATCTAGATTTTCCTCTATGCCTATCTTGGTGAGCATGAAAGCCAAGAAATTTTCATCCTTTCACCAAATTATCACTTGGTTGATCCCTAACTGATCATAGGATCATCTAAGTCAGTTGTGTGGCTTCCCTCATCTAATGTCTTCACGATCATGTTATCAATGTAAACTTCTAGGTTATGTTCTATCTGCTTTGCGAACATTATGAGTCGTCTGTAGGTAGCGTTAGTGTTCTTGAGCCTAAAAGACATGACGTTGTAGTAATAATTATTGTGCTTTAAGATGAACGTTGTCTTATGATTGTCTATGAGATCCATCTTAATTATAGGCATCCATGAAACTCATCATTTTATAGCCCGAAGACTCATCAATCAGGCGATCTCTATTAGAGAGAGGATAAGGATCTTTCGGACATACGACATTAAGATCGGTGAAATAGATGCACATACACCATTTGTTTGATTCCTTCCTTACCAAGACCATATTAGCCATTCGCGAAGGGTATTTAATCTTCATTATAAAGTCGGTGTTTGTCAGCTTCTAGACTTCTTGTTATCTTTTCTTCTAAAACCTTGTGTTTTTTCTAACACACCGGCTTGACCGATATCTATGGCAAAGCGATGACAAACCACTCTCATGTCTATTTCATGCATATCTGGGGGGCCCTAGGAGAATAAGTCAACTTTTCTCCTGAGCAGGACGATCAAATCCTCCTCCTCATATTCAGACAGTAATGTACCTCCTTCAAATCTTCGATTTGGGTAAGCCTTTCACTTTCTGTTCCCCAGCTTGGGTCCCATCTTTCCCTATCAGTGTCATCCATTTCAGGGTGAGGGATTGCGACTTGGGTGAGGGACTCCCTCGCTACTTCTAAGAAATTAACCTCCCCCAACAGGTTAAAGATGAGTCTTCCCGGGATGATATTGTAAAGGGGTGTGGCATCTACTACAAGGTATTTTACTTCTATGGTCCTAGGGCTCTCCCCTGAGCTTATTGTAGTCTTAAGGGTGATGTACCCCTTGACATGTACTTATTTACCTAACAGACCAATTAGGGATTTCTGGAAAGATCAAATGTTATGGGGGTCTATATAGAGACCTTGGAAGGTATTCCATAATAGAATATTTGTGAAGCTGCTATGGTCGATTAACGTTGTCTTTACGTCCTAGTCAGCATGTTGAATAAGGTCATGGTTATGGGGGAGTACGCTACAAACGTTCTTTGGCGAGAAGGTGATTTCAGGCTCCCAGTGTGCACCAAAGACACTGAGGCTTTTTAGGAGCGTAATGTTTGCTACTAACATGTTGAACGTCAATTGTATTGGATAAAATTATAATGAGTGTGACGACCCCTATTGAGTAAGGATTATTATATACTTTAGGATTTATTGAGGATTAGAGGTAGCCCACACGATGGAGTGGAAAGCTCTTTATAGGTCTTTTATGTGTTAAGATATTAATCCTCCCAAAGTATCACAATATAAATGTATTTATAGCTCTATAGAGGTCTTGAATTCAGTGAGCCAAATCTTTCTAAAATATAGCAACCTTCACAAAAGTGGGTGGATGATATCAAAAAGTTTAGATGATGTAGTTAAGTCACACGGTTTCTCAGATATTGATTGTTGACCCAGTACATGTTCCACCCATGAGCACATGTTATGAACGGAAAAATAAAAAATTATACAACAACTTTAGACAAGAGACGATCGAATCCGATGATAACGCTCAAACTAATACAAAGACGACTCAGAAAGGACAAAACATACGCCTATCTCCCTCGCCCCAAAATCCCCCTTAATTATTCTACTACATAATTAAATAAATAATAAAATACATATTTAATAAATAAATGAATAAAACGGGAAAGGAGGGTATGTCATTCTATGGGCTGGTGCACTTTATTGTACGGAGTCGTCAATACCAGTGGCAGTCCTATGTAATCTTTGCCTTACCATCTAACTTTGATAAATTAATTTATGTTAAGAAAAGTGAAATATAGAATTAAGTCTATAATTTATATACACGCAATCCAAATCGGTCAAAAAGATACCTATGATTTCTCATTAACCTCGACAATGTTTTCATTATAGCATTAGTTAAGAAACAAATACCGGCAAATTGGTCGGTGTAATTGAGGGGTGAAACAAAAGTATTACTACATGAACCAACATGAAAAATGAACACATCCCATAAAATTTTCATTGTGTGGTCCTCTCCAAATTGATTGTTTGATACCACTTTACTTCTTTCTTATCATACACACATTATGATTCTTCTCTTTATCCTACGCACCCTTTCCACTACTATGTCATCATGTAGAGACAAATTCCACACTCACACACACAACCATTTCACCATTGCCACTCATCCTCTAAACTTTCAACCATAATTCCAAATCCAACCAATATCCATCATGTCATCAAGTGGAACAATTTGGAGCTATGAAGAAGAAAAGGCATTTGAGAATGCCATAGCCATGCATTGGATTGAAAAACAAGATTCAAAAGAACAAGAATGGGAAAAGATTGCTTCATCTGTCCCTGACAAAAGCATGGAAGAAGTGAAACAACATTATCAAGTGTTGGTAGATGATGTTAGTGCAATTGAGGCAGGTCATGTTTCATTTCCTAATTATCCTAATGAATTGGAAAGTAGTTCAAATAAAGATTCTTCTAAGTCCACCACAAGTTTGGATAAGAGATCAAGTTGTCATTTTGGTAGTGGGTTTTCTGGTTTGGGACATGACTCCTCCACCCACCATAGTAGTGGTAAAGGTGGATTGTCAAAGTCTTCATCATCATCAGAACAAGAAAGGAGAAAAGGAATTCCATGGACAGAAGAAGAGCATAGGTACTTTCTAATTACATGTTCATCTTTAAATTTGTCTGTCTTTTTACATATTTGTCTATTTGTCTATATGTTTACTAGTGTGCAGATGACTATATTTCAATATACTATCAGTTAGACAAACTATGTTTCCACAAAAATTCGATTCAATTAAAGGTTTTCGATTTGTTTTTTCAGGCTATTTTTACTTGGTTTAGACAAATTTGGAAAAGGAGATTGGAGGAGTATTTCAAGGAACTTTGTGATATCAAGGACTCCAACACAAGTGGCAAGTCATGCACAAAAGTATTTCATAAGGTTGAATTCGATCAATAGAGATAGAAGAAGGTCTAGTATTCATGATATTACTAGTATTAACAATGGAGATGTAGCTAGTAATCATCAAGCACCAATAACAGGTCAACATGGTAACACAATTCCTTCAAATGCAATGAGTTTAGGACAATCAATGAAGCATAGAGTTCATCCTCATCATCCTGGTGCTGGTTTAGGAATGTATGGAGCACCAGTTGGACATCCTGTTGTTGCTCCTCCTGCTCATATGACTTCTGCAGTTGGAACTCCGGTTATGCTTCCTCATCATCCTCATCACCATCCACCTTATGCTGTTCCTCTAGCTTACCCTATGGCACCTCCACCAATGCACCAATAACAACGTTGTCTTTTCTTCTTTTTTATGGAAATAAAGCTGATGCAAGTTGGATTTCGAGAATTCATTAGGTCAGATAAAATCTGACAGAGATATTTACATATTATCCGCCAACAAAGTTTTCACATCAGCAACAGAATTTGCCGACAACTCAGATCTTTACGAAATTTGTGTTGAATCTTTCATGACTTAACCAACCTACATTGGTTAAAATCCTCTTTATTTTATTTGTTGGTTTAGTGAGGATTTAAAGAAAATCCTCGGGTGAAAAGTTAAGTTTATGTTAAATAAATTATGCTCTTGTTAATTTACTCTAGAATTGATGAATTCAATAATGGTACTGAGTATATAGACTATGTTTCAGTTGGCTTATTAAATTTCTTTATCAGGTAGGGGTTATGGTGTATATGTACATAGTTATGATTATAATAAATAGGAGTACCAATGAATGGAAGTAAACGAACTTCTCTTTGTTGCCAAGATTATTATGGCATGTCCTTTTTATTTGATAAATAGAAATCATGTCTCTAGATTGATGAGACTTGAAACTAATTATTGTTGTTTTCCAACTTGCGAAATGTCTAGTCATTGTTGTTGATGAGTGCCTTTATAAAAGTTGGGTAAAAAAACTTGTTATTTTCCTTAAACATCAAATTCAATTAAAAGCATGTACCTGAAGTTATTACAGGTGCCCTGTTATTTATAGAAAATCAAGACATAAAACTAATTATTTAAAAAAGCATCATTAGATCCGTCAATAACAGGGAAAATCTTAACATGATTAATAAGTAGAATCCTGTCATCATAATTTAAAAGCCGCTTCTTCAAAATTACCATTTATCATCATGATTTAAAATCCACTTTTCAACCAAGAAAAAAAAGAACAAGCTCATAAATTCAATACATAATACACAAATACATTAAATCTAGTAAGCATAAAAATTTGCTTAAAGTGGCATATTTTCATTGAAAGTACTCAAATTCAAGTAGATTTTTTAGCATGTTAGAGAAAGAGAGAGAATGGGAACTACAGGTTACATCTATGCCCTTGTATTCCTCCTAGTCACACTCTCATCTCAATCATCTGACAGTTCCATCTCATACAAGGAATGTTGCAAGCTATAAATTATTTCAGACAAGATCCATATTTATGGCTCATTTCGTCTAATGAATGCCATTAATGGTACATATCTATTTGTTTGCTTCCATTACATCTTCTAACCTGCCTCATAATAACAGACATGGAAGATTGGATGATGGAGTACTCCACCTAGGACCCAAGACAAATTACCACTTTATTTTACACAATTATTAGAAGCATTATGCCCTGAAATTTGGCAAATTCACTTGCCAAAACGTCAGGGCCAGCTTCCTTCCTTACGAGAGCCATCATGAATCGGGAAAGTTGGATACCAATTTATTGCCTATGCATGCATGCAAAACTAGTCACGCAAAGCTTACAAATACCAACAAGATGTTTCTGTAAGAATATAACAAGTGCGACATAGTCTCCGGTTTATTTGTACAAAAAACCCCCCAAGTACTCATTGAATTGAATATGAGACCACCCCTGGTTTGGGCGTAGTCCCTTCATTTTCAAATCTTCTTCTCCCAAAAGAATGAACTTACACTTGACAAGCAAACAACAAACACATTCTAAGAACGGAAAATTCTGCATGCATTAAATTGAAAAGCAGTGCTTATAAGTTATAAAATCAGTTAGTTTGCTTTTGTAACAGGTACAAAAACGATTAATTCTTCATGGACATTCAAACAAGGAAGTCATTTGTATCCTTTACCTACCTGAGAGGTTTCTTCTAAAGCTGATATTTCACAAATTCTGTGTCAACCTTAAAGCACTTACAAGGTCAACCAAAAAATATATCATCTGGAATCAAAATGGAATATACAACATGCTGATAATTACTAGGTATTCCTGTACTTCAAAATTCAGCTCTACAAAGTCATTTTTGATTTAACACGGCGATGACAGTTCAGCATTCGGAATAAGAAACTTCTATGACCCCACCTCCACCATTTTGGTACCAAAATTCGGCGTCTCTTTTTTGTCTGTTTGCCTACAACTGAAAAAATATATATATAATCAGGTATTTTAGAGCTTCACCAGAAATACTAATTCTAATCTCAACTGCCACAGTTCACATAAACTTTTGTAAAGCAATATCTTGTGATGCATGTATATATAATTCTAATCTCTACTTCCACAGTTTACATAATTTTTTGTAAAGTAATATCCTGTGATGCATAACTACATGTACCGGTGACTGGGTCTGCTCTTGACCCAACTCCATATGCAGATCAGCTCAACAATGCTATTGAAGATCAACTGACTGAATCTGCTATCGACTGTGTCAAGCAATAGCCCACACGGGGATAAACTCAAGGAGATGCGAGGAAGAGCATCGTCGGGCTTCTCCTCGAGCAAGGTCGATCCTCCCCTGAGGGCCTCATGACTGGCGAAGATCCTGCGCGACGGGCAGAAGTATCCCACGAACATCCTCCTCGTACGACTGACTATCAACGCCTCCGAATATCATGGAGTCCATTTGACCCCGAAAAGACAGCATCCATATCTTCCTGGTCATGCGGAGGAATCCATCCAGGTAGGAGACCACGTGCTGGTCCCCACTACTCACGTAGAACCTGACAGTCTCCACTTTGGACCTACTTACCCAGTCCAATGAGAGGACCTTGGCCCAGCATTGGGGCTATGAATACCCTCTCACTTGAGAGGGTCAGATACTAATCATTTCTTACTTACTCTTACTTGCTTGCATCATTCCGAATCTCACTTTGGCATAAGAGTGTCTTGCAGGTACCCCCACCTCACTTTCAACTTCTGCTCGACGTAAGTTGTGACGGTCCATTCTGGTCAGGTACGATCAGTGGCGCCGTCTGTGGGAAACAAACTTTCCCGTCTTTCACTTACCTAAGACAAAAGCTACTCCAAATTCTTGACTGTCATGGCTGACCCAGCTACAGAAAACAACCTAAATGCCCATCCCGCCAGCCTCAACAACAGCACTGGCGACGACAACGCCGGCAATAACAACGCTAGCAACGCTGGCAATAACGCCAGCCACAATATCAGCATGCTCGACACTTAAATAATTACAGAGACGGTCTGACCGCCTCCTCGTCGTCCATGTCTCGACGTCCCGGAGACGATCAGCGTCCTCCCCAAAACTATCAGCCAAACACGTTCTAGAAGGTCCCCGTCCCTACGTGCGCGGATGCCACGACCTGGGCTCTGCTCGCGGCTATTAATCAAACCAATTACTTGATCTTCTCACAAGGTGAGAGATTAAGAGTGCTCAAAGATTCTCGAAGAGCCCCCCCATAAGACACAGGAGACCAGACTCTCCTCCTCCCCGTCAGATAGATGAACATCCCCAATCTCTCCCGCAGAGACGCAGAAGGGATGCCTCACGAAGCCCCTCTCCTCGACGAACTGGGCGTCATCCCGCGTTGGAGAGGAATCAACTCGTTGATACAGGGAGACATGATCACGTCCCCCGCGCCAAGAACGAAGACCCCTTGAAAACAGAAACAGGGGAAATGAAGAACCACGACCCCAACCGAGGGATCCTCCCCGCGACCAGGGCCGCCATCACGACCGCCATTACAACAGGTCACCTTCTCGATCTCCAGACAGAAGCGACGAAGACGACCCCCGTGGTCTCCTATCCCAGGAAATTATGGAGGCACCCATTCCCCTAGGAATGGAAAAACCTCCCCAACTGAAGGAATACGACGGCATTGCAGATCCAGTCAGCCACATCGACGGGTTCGAGGCAATGCTACATTTCATAACTTCAGGAGACCGATCAAATGCCGGTTATTCTCCACTACCTTAAGAAAGACTGCGATGGACTGATACAAGAACCTCGCCCCGGGGTCAATCACCTCTTGGAGAAACTTAAAAAACCAATTCATCAGCTCATTCACAGCCTCTCGTCGACATCCAAAGACTGAGGCTGCCCTTGAGGCTATCGTCCAAAGAAGCGACGAAACTTCAGAGAGTTTATTGATCGGTTCAACCGCGAAGCCATTCAGATCTCCTGCATCGATCACATGAAAAGATACTTACTCGAAAAAAGACTCCTCTCAGGCACGGAGTTCAGGAAGGCCGTTGGCATCAAACCACCCCCATACATTCGATGCTCTCCTCATAAAGGCTAGGGCCTACATGAACTACGAGGAGAGGAAAGCGGACAACAAAGCCCACGACCCAAGGAACCGCAGACCAACCAACGCCCCGCGACACCAGGACATAGCCCCTCCTCGACGAACGGACGAGAAGAGAAGGGATGACAAACCACGGGATCCCCGCGAGCACAGGGGGGCCGCATGCCAACTCACCGAGTACACTCCACTAACAGCTTCCCGCAACGCATCTTGACGGAGTGTGCTAATACCGACTTCAAAGACAGTGGCACCAAACGTCCTCGCTCAACCCCTACAAAACTCGGGACTGACATGAGCAAATACTGCCAATACCACCGGAGTCACGGGCATCTGACTGAAGACTGCGTCCATCTCAAAGACGGCATTGAAACCCTCATCAAGGGTGGCAGGCTCAGGCAATATCGCCGCAATGACGCCCCTCGCCGGGATGCCCGCAAAACAAGAGTGGATGAGGAAGACCCCCGACTATCAGATGAAACGGCCCCATCCAAATAGCCTTCTCAATTACAAGGCCGGAGGACTTCTACGTCCCCGACAGACACGAAGAAGAACCTCTGTCCACGCACAGTAGGTCGGAAAGATTCCCCTCTGCCATGGTCATAACTGGCAGGGGGTTCAACGACATATCTATAAACTCTACAAAGAGGAAGCTTGGCGAGCTGGTCGACGCGGCCCGACTCAAGCGGTAACATTCGAGAAGGTCAAAGACAGATCAGAGCCGATCAGGTTCTACTTCGAAGAGTTGCCCGGAGGGGCCCCTAATTCAAGTATCCCTCTTCTGGTTAAGGCAAGGATGGCTAATTTCAACGTTCATTGTATTTTGGTCGACGAAGGGAGTTCCGTCGACGTTATGTATAGCCATCTCTTCCGAACTCTACAGCTCGACGACACCTACCTTTCATCATACGTGGGGTCCGACCTGCAGGGCTTCAACGGCTCGACTTCCAAACCATGGGGGTATGTGGAGCTCTTCGTCACCTTCGGGGAGGAAACCGCCGCCCGACAGGTCAAGGTGCGATTTCTGGTCATCGACTGCCCGTCTCTCTACAACTGCATCCTAGAGAGACCAACAGTGGTCGAATTGACCGCTTCCCCTCCACCGTCCATCTAAAGATGAAATTCTACACAAGGAAGGGACGCGTCGCCACCATCCACGGCGACATCTCAGCTGCCCGAAGATGTTTTAACGCAGCTTCAAAGAGACAGAGCACGGTCGACACTGGGACACGACCTACTAAGAGAGCTGTTACTCGACCTGAGCCACTGCCCGTCAAGACAGAAGAACAAAGAGCTTCACCAAAGATCGACTCCATCTTCGTGGACACTCGCTTCGAAAAGGATGAAGCACCCGACGGCGAACAGAAACTCCTCCGACTAATCCCCGACAAAGACTTTGAATCGGTGAAGACCCTCACAAAGACGTGAAGATCGGCACCGAACTCCCCGACCTGGCGAGAAAGTAGGTCAAAGCTTGCTTGAGGAAGAACGCAAACCTGTTAGCGTGGAGCGCTGCGGAGATGCCCGGACTCGACCCCGAGGTCGCCTGTCACCACTTGGCCGTTGATCCAGCCGCTAGGGCATTAGTGCAACGTAGACGTAGTAGACAGTCTATTGAGAAAGCGGAGGCTGCTGAAAATGCTGTAAAAGAGCTCCTAGAGGCTAATTTTATTCTGAGGCCCGGTATTTAACCTGACTCTCAAATGTTGTACTTGTTAAGAAAAATAATAGAAAATAGAGAATGTGTGTTGACTATATCGATCTTAACCGAGCATGTCCCAAAGATGTTTTTCCCTTGCCTAATATTGACATGCTGGTCGACAATTTGGCCGACTATAAAATTTTGACATTTATGAACGCTTACTCGAGCTTTAATCAAATCCCAATGACGATGAGTGACAAACATTGAACTGCTTTCATGACCAGCTCGGGCAATTACTACTACAACGTAATGCCCTTCGGCCTGAAAAAGTCAGGAACAACATACCAGGGAATGATGAATAGAGTCTTTCACGACGAGATCGGTGATATGCTCGAGGTATACATGGACGACATGATCGTCAAATCTCGAAGAGACACCGACCACGCTGTCCACCTCAAAAGAGTCTTTGCCCAAGCGAGGCAATGCATGATGAGATTCAACCCTGAGAAATGCACCTTCGAGATGAAGACGGACAAGCTCCTCGATTTTTATCTAACAGAACGAAGAATCAAAACCAACTCCGACAAATGTCGGGCATTCTCTGAACTCCCCACACCTAGCTCGAAGAAATCCATACAAGTCTTAAACGGCATGCTCACCTCGCTCTCCCGCTTCGTGGTAAAGTCCGCGCAACACGCTATTCCATTTTTCAAACTTCTGCGCAAAGAGGCAGCCTTCGAATGGACCGAGGAATGCGAGTGAACCCTCCTCCATCTCAAGTAAAGCATTTCGCAGTCGCCTGTGCTGTTGCAACCTGAGAACGGGGAAACCCTGTTCCTTTCCCTGACCGTCTCCGTCGAGGCCATAAACGCGGCCCTCGTTCGTGAGATTTCACACGGACAAAAGCCAGTGTATTTCACGAGCAAAGCACTACAAGGGCCTGATGTCAGGTATCAACAGATTGAGAAGGTGACCTTGGCCCTCGTCAACGCAGCGAGGAGACTTAGACATTACTTTCTAACACACATGATCATCGTGCGGACAGACCAACCTGTAAGGCAGTTCCTATGCCAACCAGACATGATAGGTCGAATGCTAAAATGGTCCCTGAAGCTCTCGGAGTTTGACATCCAGTACGAAAGCAGAAAGGCCCTCAAAGTCCAAGCACTGGCCGACTTCGTCACAGAGATGACCGCTCACAGACCAACCTGTAAGGCAGTTCCTATGCCAACCAGA